CATTGTCCATTTGCTCATTCTTTCATCCACTCATTTGTTCATCCGTTGTTCATTCACTCATTCACCCATTCATTCATGTGGGTATTCACTTTTAAGGGCATTCATTCCTTCATTCCTTTATTCATTGTCCATTTGCTCATTCTTTCATCCACTCATTTGTTCATCCGTTGTTCATTCACTCATTCACCCATTCATTCATGTGGGTATTCACTTTTAAGGGCATTCATTCCTTCATTCCTTTATTCATTGTCCATTTGCTCATTCTTTCATCCACTCGTTTGTTCATCCGTTCATTCATGATGGTACTCACTTAAAAGAGCATCCAACCATCCATTCTTGTGGGTATCTTGGAGTTTAGGGGCTAGAATTTTTTTTTTTGGTGAGGCAATTGCAGTTAAGTGACTTGCCCAGGGTCACACACAGCTAGTAAGGTTATGTGTCTGAGGCCGGATTTGAACTCTGGTCCTCCTGACTCCAGGGCCGGTGCTCTATCCACTGTGCCACGTAGCTTCCCCCTAGATTTCTTTTTTAAGGACCCAAGTGATTCTGGCTGTCATTGATTGGTCAACAATAAGTCCCAGCCCAAGCTCCAGATGGTCATTGTTTGGGTCCTGATGACTCAGAATGAATGTAAGTAGCAACTGTTTTGGCCAGAAACCCTGAAGGTCTTTTCCTCTCTGATTTTTATTTTTTAACTAGGTAAAAGAGGCCATTCTTTGCCTCATTTCTTATCTAGCCGTAATCACTGAGTGGGCCTCACTCAGAGACCTGGGAAAGACCTTATTTTAAAAAGGCCAAGGTCTTCCACTGCATCTGGGGTCATCTCCAGTCATACTGATCTATATCTTGCCACTGGACCCAGATGGCTTCGGAAGAGAAAGTGAGGCTGGTGACTTTGCACAGCCTTCCCTCCCTTAAATCCAGTTCACTTGCCATCATCTTCTTTGAGAACGAAGGACAAAAAACAAAAACACTTCTAAGAGCATTCCTTCTTTCCTTCCTTCATTCATTTGTTCATCCATCCATTCAATTGTTCATTCACTCTTGTGGGCATTCACTTATAAGGGTGTTTATTCCTCCATTCTTTTATTCATTGTTCATTCATTTGCTCATTCACTTATTCATTTATCCATTCACCCATTCATTTGTTCATCCATTCATTCATTCATGCAGGTATTCATTTATAAGAGCATTAATTTCTTCTTTCATTCACTCATTCATTCACTCATGTTTTCTTGTGGGTATTCATTTATAAGAGCATTCATTCCTTTATCCTTTTATTCATTCACTCACTTATTCATGCATCCATTTATTTGTTCATCCATCCGTTCATTCATTGCAGGTGTTCATTTATAAGAGCATGCATTTGTTTGTTCTTTTATTCATTGTTCACTCATTCATTCATGCAGATATTCATTTATAAGAATATTCATTCCTTCATTCACTTATTCATTCATTTACTCATTCATTTACCCATTCATTTGTTCATCCATTCATTCATTCATTCCTTGCAGGTATCCATTTATAAGGGCATCCATTCCTTCATTCTTTTATTTATTTTTCATTCACTCATTCATTCATTCATGCATTCATTTGTTCATCCATCCATTCATTCTTGCAGCTATTCACCTATAAGAGCATTTATTCATTCATTGTTAATTCACTCATTCCTTCATCCATCCATCCATCCATCCATTCATTCATGTGGGTACTCATTTATAAGAGCATTCATTCTTTTATTTTTCATCCATTTGTTTGTTTATTAATTTATTTATTCTTGCAGGCTTCCATTTATAAGAGCATTCATTCCTTCATTTTTTTATTCATTGTTCATTCACTTGTTCATCCATTCATTGTTCATTCATTCATGTGAGTATTCATTTATAAAAACATTCATTTCTCCATTCTTTCATTCATTTACTCATTTGTTCATGCATTCATCATTCATTCATTCATTAATTTATTTGGTCATTCATCCATTCATTCATTCCGCTCATTAATCCATTCATTGGTTCATCCATTCACTCATTCATCCATACACCCATTCATTCATTCATGCAGGTATTCATTTATAAGGACATTCACTTGTTCTGTCATTTATTCATTTGTGCATGCAAACCTTTATACCTTGTGCCATGCCCTAAGTCAGCTGCTGGGGAGATACAATGATACTCAATAAATATTTATTAAGCCCCTTTATTAAGTGCCAAAGAATAAAGGCCAAATACAGTCCTTGCCCTTAAGGAGCTCTCAGTCCACTGGGGGAGTCAGCAAGCAAACAATCATGTACAAACAGGATGTAGACAGGATAAATAGCAAATAATCCACCAAGAGAAGGCACTAATATTAAGGGGGATCAGAAAAGGCTTCTGTGGAAATCAGATTATAATTGGGGCTTACAGGAATCCAGGAGACTGGGATGAGGAGGGGGAACATTCCAGGTGTGGGGGATAGCCAGAGAAATGGCACAGGACAGTAGATTCTGTGGAGGGGAGTCAAATGTAAGAAGACTGGAAAGGTGGAGGGTGCAGGTTATGAAGGGCTTTGAAAACCAAACAGCTTTTTGTATTTGATATCCTGGGTGCAACAGGGAGCCCTTGGAGTTTATTGAATAGGATGTGACATGGTCAGACCTGCCTTTAGAAAAATCCCCTTGATGGCTGAATGGAGGATGGACTGGAGTAGGGAGAGACTTGAGGCAAAACTGCCATAGTCCAGGTGTGAGGAGATAAGGATCTGCACCAGGGTGGAGGCAGCATTAGAGAAAAGAAGGGGGGCATATTGGCCAGCTGCTGCAGAAATGAAGTCAACAAGAGATTCTGCAGAGGTGAAATTGACCAGAGATGGTGCCCAGGTGAAACTGA